CAGCTACGGAAGATGGATGAAACTCAACCGTTCCCCATCAACGGCGTCGCGCACGCTCAGGTGGACTCCGCATAGGCTTCCTTGGGAGGTTACTATATGCTTGTCTACACCTGTTTTTGTGCACTCCGCCAGGGAGCTTGTCAGGCCAGGACCTCTGGGGGCTACTCAGGGGTCAACCCAGGAGTTGGGAGAGGTCCCGTCCCGTCAGCGGCATCCAAGGGCCTCCCAACCCGCCTGGCTCAGCCGTGGCGCTTAAGCACCCGCGCTGCATCCCAGACGAGCTGACACACTTGCACCGCCGGGAGGTTAACGTCACCAACCCCTGAACCCCCTAGCTCTCTCCACGGTCCCTACCCTGGCAATAGCCGCTCCCTCTTGCTCTTACCTATTCCCTCCACCCTGCTTTAATGAAATTAGGGAGGAAAGGTGGAGGATGGGCGGGACAGACAGACAGGCAGTACAAAGCAAGAACAGTTCATCTCGCTTCTGCTCGCAGTCGGGACGCGAGCAGGCCGCAGCGCCTCCGCTGCGTGGGCGAGAGATTTAATTGAGTGGCCTCGGCGACGGCATCCTGGACATACCAGCGGGCCGTGCGCGCCGAGGCCCACCTGCCTCGGAGCAGCGTCTGCTCCATGGAGCCGTGGCTGCGGAAGTCGGCGGACGCGCCGCCCCGACGCCAGCTGTAGAGGGTGAGCTTCGCATCTTGCAGCTCCAGCAGCTCACGCACGCGGCCAAAGGTGCTCATGAAACTGCTTGGCTCCATCCCGAGGCACAAGTCCTGCTTGTGCGCCTGAGCCTTTGCCCTGGCGAGGAGGGCGACCGCTACGCCGCTCCGCACGAGCACGAACTCTCGGGCACCAGTCTGATGCTGGCTCTTGGTGTTGCGCAGCTGCAGCACGGCCATTTGGCGGAGTGGATACAGCTGCACGTCGGACCACACGAGCGAGGTCATCTCACCCGTCCGGAGGAAAGCGTCATAGCCTGCTGCCAGCACCGCCGCAGCGCCGAGCTGGCCCACGGCCGCAAATGCCCCTGCGAACGCTGCCGCAATCAGCGGCCCGATCGGCAGCGCCCGCCCAGCTGGCTCCAGGCGTTGCCACGTCTTGGCCAAGCGCCAGCTGTCCCGCAGGTGCCCTCGCACGGGCGGGAATGCGTGCGTGATGCCTGCGATTGCATTATTTATCTCAAATAAAGATCCTCCGCTCAGCCAACGGCTCTCGATGAAGGCGGCCACGCCAGCGTCGACCTGAGCGGGCGTCTGCGGCTGCCGGTGCTCCTGGATCCAGAAATCAACGACATCATCGACCGCCGCACGGTACCGCTGCAGGGTGAGCGGCGTGACCATCGCCTCCCTCGGCGGTTGGGACCTCGCTGCAGCTCGTCGCACCATCGCCTGGGCCGTGACCTGGCTCACCTTTGCTGCTGCTTGCGCTGCACGCTTGCCGGGGGCGGCCCTCCTGGCCCTCGCCGGCGGCAGCACTGGGAGCGTGGCAGCGGCGGCCGAAGCTCCAGCGGGACGGCGTGTCGGCGGGCATGTCGTCGGCGTCGCAGTAGCCGTACAGCGGGTACCCTGCCGTCGCGAGGAGCAGGGAGTTGAGCCGGCGGAGCGCTGGCTGCAAAGCCCTCGCGCTCGATCTGCCCTTGGTGCTGACTGCCGCGATCGCTTGGGCATCCAGAATGTGCAGGTAGCGGCAGCGGTGGTTCTCAACTGCCCGGCACCTCCAGCGCGCTCCAGCCACCGCAGCCTCCAGCTCCAGCGCCGAGATGTGCCCAGGCCGCTGCCAGCGAAAGCCTTTGGCGATCCGCCAGGCCCAGAGGTGCGTACGGAGTGCTGCCCGCGGCCACGCGCGGGCGCGGTAGGGCGCCCCGGTGTCAAGCCGGACGTCCGTGCCCCCGCGGTCCGCGACCCGCAGGAACTCTACGATCAGGCTGCGTTCCAACTGCGGGTCGGGATGTCCCGGCTGCTGGAAGTCGGGGACCACGTTCCAGTTCGCCTCGCACGTGCCCACAGCGAGGCAGCTGCTGCCCGGGATGGCGGCCGCTAGCGCCCCCACCTGAGCGAGCCACGAGCCGAGAAGATACATGACAGCCTGGACGCAGAACGTATTCCCGATCAGGGACTCAATGACGCTGTCTCGCTCGGCGGCGGGGGCACTATCTATTACAGCGGCCTGGAAATAGAGACGGTCGAACCCCATCAGAGCAGCACGCTCCTCAGGCACGGGCAGCCGGCCCCGCTCACGCCTCGCGTCCCAGATGAGGCTGCCGTCCTCGTAGTTGTTGACCTGGTAGCGGTAGCTGTCGGCAGCCCAGCGCTCCGCGGCCAGCACCGAGGCGCGGTTGAGGCCCACGGGCCGGAACGGCGGGTGGCGTCGCGGGATTGGCCTCGTGAAGCAAGGGAGGTCTGCCTCAGGGTCCAGCGTCGACCAGCCCTCCAGGAGCGAGGCACTCAGTGGGAGCCTCTCCACCGCAAGCGAGACCTTGAAGTACGCGGCTTCTCCCACACCCTTGGTCTCGACGGTGGCGTCGGACGCCAAGAACGCCGTGACAGGCCACGAGCACCAGTACAGGCGGGGCCGCCTGACGTGAGTGAGACACCTGGCATCGAGGAACACGGGCGTGACTCCAAGCGCCCTGGTGAACTCTGCCCTCGACTCTAGGGTCATGCTGAACACGTTCTCGACGAACCACATGGTGCGCTTAGGAAAGGCAGCCTCCGCTGCCTGGATCAGCTCGGGGACCCGGAAGAAGAGCCTCGACCTCGACCCCTCTAGGCCGGTCCCCACGACATTGATGCTCGCAAGGTCTTGGCACGGGCTCCCCGCGGTCAAGACGACCCAGTCGGCGTCCCGTGCGTAGCCCTTCAGCATCTCAGTAAACCGCGCCGCGTCGACGGCCTCGATGTTGCCAAGCTCAATCACGCCCGCCCAGCGGCGACGCACCAGTCGCCGGGCAGCGGGCTCGACCTCGCAGCTGACGTGGGCCATCACGTCGATCGGGAGTCTGGAGGCCGCCACCGCGGCCCCAGCAGCGCCAGCGAAGAGCTCGATGAGAACTATGCGAGGGCGCCACCGCACACCACGCACAGGAGCCGCAACTGCACCAGGCCGCAAAGTCACTGCTGATGCTCCCCCTCTCGCGCAGGCAACGCCCTGCGCCGAGAGCCCGGCCGTGTGGCAAATGCCCCCGGCGCGCTCGCTGGCATCGGTCGCAATGACACAAGTGTCGATCCTTGCGCGCAGGTCGGTGTATGCCAGCGGCAGCGCCATCGCGAAGCCCAAGAGCTCGTCGCACATGCCAAGGGGAACAGTCTGCGGGCGCGTCCAGCGCCCAGCAGCCCACACGCTGTTGAGGAACCCCATGAAAGGCCTCCTGAACTCCGCTGCCCTGACGCACCTGCCTAGGATCATGAGCATGCCCTGCGACGAGAGGCCCTGTCTGCCCATGCCCCACAGGATGGCGTGGGCGACAATATGACGGGGGGAGCGTGGGAGTGGTGGGTGGTGGTGTGGAATGGGTAATGGGCTGATGGGTAGGCTGGCGCGCTGTGCGGGCACGGGGGACGGGAAACTCCAGCGCTTGGTGAAAAAAAAAACAAGAAAAAAAAAGTAAAAAATCAACTGGAACAAAGTTAAACAAAAGACAAAAAAAAAAGAAAAACAGAAAAACAAAAAACAACATAAAAAAAAAAAAAAAGACAAAACACTTACCAAAAAAAAAATCACAAAAAACACAATAAAAACACCCCTACACAATGAAACAATCAAAAAAAAAAACCAAAGAACATCAAAAAACATAAAGGGAAAACTGACACAAAAGCCAACACAATCGGAAAAACAACGCCAATACTTGCCCAGACACACACAATCCCAAAAGAAACAATAAAACAAGCTTCTCGGTCGTGACTCCGACCCGGCCGACGGCCCCGTCAAGACCCGCGCCCATCCGCTCCAGGACCAGCGCGCGGTGCTTGGCCTTGCCGGGGGCGACGCTGATCCCCGAGCGGTCGTAGGCGGCCCTCTGCTCCTCCTGCGCGCAGCTCATCGTGCCGAGGAGCTCCGCGACCATCGCGTTGGGCACCACCTCGCCATGGTCCCAGTCGTCGATGTTGTACTGGATCCACTGCTGCTCGAGCTCCTTCGACTTGAACGGAAGTGGGCGGTCCTTGCGCCACTCGAGATCCGCGGGAAACCCCGCAGCGAGGGGGCGAGAGCCGAACCCGAGGCGCCTGTGGCAGTGCTGAAGCACCGTGACCGCGTAGATCCAGCCCATCGGGATGACGCGCAGCGCGAGGTGTGTCTTCCCAGGACCCGGCACGCCGATGAGCTCGTTCGGGATCGCCTCCGCGAGGGTCATGTACGGCTGCCAAGCCTCGGGCAGCTCGTAGCAGTAGAAAGCGGAGGCTTGGTCATCTGACGACCAAAGCAGCATGTGGCCCTCTGGGAGCGGGATGGCGACCCACGAGGGCGACGCGCTAAGGGTCCCGATGTCGTCCCTCATGATGCGCTGGTAGCTGTTGGCCGGGACCATGTTGATGATCAGGCGCTGGACGCACGCCTGGCCAGGTGACGGCGTGCCACCCTTGGCGACACCAAACGCCCCGGCGAGCACCTTGCGGTTCCCGACCTTGAAGATGCGGTCGTCGGCGATCGGCGCAGCCAGCCCCAGCTCGACGAGCTTGGTCCCGATGCTGTACCACTCCTGCTTGGACGTGACCTGGATCGCCGCCCGCGGGACCTCTGCAGGCCACTCATCTCGAGGGAGCAAGGCCAGCGTGGGGTCGGCAAGCCAGGCGCCCACCTGAGCGTCCGCGATGTCGACCGCCTTGACAGAGGCGGCGACGCCCCGCGCGGGGAGGCCTGGCATGATGCCCGCAAGCGAGAGTGGCAGGGCGCGGGACGTCTCCTCGCCCCCGTAGGAGACGGTCCTCGACGCGATGACCTGGTCCCAGTCCGGGAGCTCGAAAGATGTGGCGGCATCCTGAACGAAATACTCACAGGCCTCCTGCACAATGCCGAGCGCACTGATCTGACTTGCCGTGGGCCGCCTCGCGGCGACGGTTGGACAACGCATGTGCCCCGTGTACTGGTAGTTCAGGCTGAAGACCACGAGCTGGGCCCACCCCTGCGCCGTGGTGGCGTCCACCTCGCAGGTCTCCGGCAGCTGCTGGTGCAGGTACCAGGCGGCACGGCACCTCTCGAAGAGCGGGGCGTCGGGCAGCGGTAACGGCAACACCTCGCGCAGCCGCGCGAAGCTGGCCGTGGGGTCTGGCGAAGTGCACATCTTACGAACGTACCGCCCGATCGCCCCTGGCGAACCGTGCACCGCCTCGTGGACCGCGAGGGCGAGCCTGAACTTGGAGCTGACGCCCGTGCCCACCTCGGCTAGCATCTGGCGCCACCGCCGAGCCTGCGAGCTGCCGCGTAGCTGCCGCTCAGGCGGGCGGAGGGCAGGCAGGGGCGTGCTCGGGGCCGCGGCCTTAGCCGCGTCGGCCCTCACGCCCGAACCCAGGCCGTCCTGCGAGCAGCGCTCGTGCCGTGGCTCTTCCCCGTCTTGCCTTTGCCGCGGCTCTTGGCAGCCAGCGGTCTCCCGATGCGCGCCTTCCATGCTGCCTGGGTCTCGCCCTCGCGCCTCGGGTGGGCCGCCTTGTGCTGCGCGAAGCTCCGGCCTGCTGCCGCGTCCGCTGGTGGCACGCGGGCGGCGGCTGCTGCGTCGAGGTCCCCCTCGGAGTCGCTCAGGAGCTGGACCGACCGCGTGGGACTGCGGCTGGTCCTCCGCGCTGCTGGCTGCTTCCCCCCGGCGGGGGGAACTGCGGGACCGTCGCCTGGAACTCGTCCGGCAAGGATCCTCATCGCCTCGGGCGATCCCGAGACTGGCGTCCCGGGAGCAGGGAGCGGGGGGCGCGCCTCCGCGCGCCCATGGCCTGCAGGTGCCGTCCCCCCCTGCAGCGGAGACGGCTCCCGGCCAGACCCCTAGCCCGGCCTGCGGTCTGCAAGTCGCTGGCGGAGCTCGGCGACCTTCAGCTCCCGGGCCTCGACCTTCTCGGCAGCGTTCTCCTCGTCCAGAGAGGCGCCTGATGGAAGCTGTTCCTGCGCGACAAGCGTGAGCCACCGTGCCGACCGCCAGTTCCCGTCGCGGATGGCCATCGTCCGCGCCTTGAACTCCTGCATGAGCAGATCCGCAGTCTCGACGACCTCTCCGCGCAGGATGCCGTCGAGCGCCAGCCCCAGCGTGCGGAGGACCCGCACCTCGTCCGTCCCCAGCGTCCGCGGCGGGTGAGCAACGAAGAACACCGTGTTCAAGAACTGCGTGACACACGGGGCCAGAGGGTCGGCCTCGCCTGCGGACAACTGCTGGGTGAACTGGCTGCGCAGGTGGCCGAGCCCGTTCTCGAGGAGAGCGCCGGGCCGCTGCCGAGCGATCCTGCGGAACAAGTCCCGCTTGATGCCCACGCCCTGGTAGCGGTCGCGGCCCCCAAGGCGCTCCGTGTCGCTCTCCGCGCCGTCCTCCGCGTCGTCGTCGTCGCGGCCCAGGAGCGCCGCGGTCAAGGCTGATGCCAGCCTGGACCTCGACCCAGCGGCGCCTGTGCGCGCAGGGGCAGCAGCGGCGGCTCGGCCGGCCACCACCTGCGCCAGGCGCTCGCCTACCGCACCTGCTGGGCGCGCAGCGTTCTTGGGCGTGCCCTGCCTCGGCACACCACGAGCTGCCCTGCCCCCGAGCCGCGCCAGCCGCGCCTCGAGCTCTGGGTCCTCGGCAGTCTCCTCGAGCCCTGCAATCTCCTGGTCGAGAGGGCTCGCCTCTCCTGGTCCGCCTGGGGTCGGGGTGCCCTCCACCTCGTGGGCCCGCTTGCGCGGCGGCCCTCGAGGCTCCTCCTCGTCCTCGTTGCCCCCATCCCCGAGCGGCCAGCCGCCGAGCTCTCCAGGCAATGGCTCGGCCGCGGGCGCATCGGTCATCACAAGCGCTCCAGGATCCGCGGCCGGGCAGATGAGCTTCGCCTGCTCGCGGGCCACGTCGCGGGGGTCCACCACCTGCCACACGTCCAAGTGCTCGACCACTGCGCCCACAGGAGCGACCGCCCCGCACTCGTCGGCGCTGCACTTGCAGAGGCGGAAGACCGTGGCCAGGGACCGCGCGCCCCGCTGCCCGCAGGAGGCTGCATACCACGAGTAGTACGGGTCGCTGGCGCCCACATGCCGGCCCTTGAAGTACCGGCCGAAGGCGTCTGCCTGGTAGGCGACCTCCACCTCGAGCATCTCGACGCCCTGCGGCGCCCCGTAGTCGTCCTTGACCCGCGCCAGGACCCGAGCTCCAGCCGCCAGCGGCAGCCCCGGCACCAGCTCGCCGTTCAGCGCTGCGTCGAGCCAGGCCCCCCGCGGGAAGGGCCACCCGACCGCTGCCGGGGCTGCCCGCTCCATCGGGTTCCTCGCCAGCAGCTCCGCGGGAGAGGGGCGACCCGCGCCCGGGATCCTCGTTTCCCGGCCAGGTCTTCGCTCCCCTCAACCCACTAAGGCTGCCAGCGAGGCTGATCAGAATCAGTCGGCCGAGCGTGGCCCTCCAAGCGGCCGCGCTCGGCGCGGCAACCTTCAGTAGACAGAGTGGCTCGGCAGCGGCCACAGACGGGCGGGACCGCCCGGTGACTCCGCTGCCTGTCTCCAGCCAACACAGCTACGGAAGATGGATGAAACTCAACCGTTCCCCATCAACGGCGTCGCGCACGCTCAGGTGGACTCCGCATAGGCTTCCTTGGAAGGTTACTATATATATATATACATATACATACATATACGTAGAGATGCTCGCCCATATATATATATATATATATATATAGACCTGCTCGTATGCATATCTGTGTGTGTGTATGTATGTATGTATGTATGTATGTATGTATGTATGTATGTATGTATGTATGTATGTATCTATGCATGCATGCAAGTATGTACGTACCCATGTTTTGTATGCATGCATGCATGCATTCAGGCAGGCAGGCAGGTAGGTAGGTTGGTAGGCAGGTAAGTAGGTAGGTATTCTCATACACACCTCTCCGAAGGAGTAGAGCTCAGAGGAGATTAATGCATACGCGCCGCGTCGTTCGCGATTTTTCTGGCCGTTTCGCTCGGGACATCCTCGAAATTCTGAAAATCGGTGACACCCCTCACACAGATCGTGACGTCAGAGTTCAAAAACACATGGGCATGTCAACATTTTAACATAACACCTTCAAAAACACATGGTATTTTCAATTATTTTGACCCCGATTCTCAGAGAATGGCGGTTTCGCTTGAGACTTATCTCAAACTCGAGCCCCGACGTACCTTCTGGTACCCGAGACCCCGCCTCGGAGCCACCTGGGGGCCTCCTGGAACCTCCTGGGGCCTCCTGGGGCTTTCTGTACCTTCTGGTACTCCAAACCCTGCCTCGGAGCCTCCTGGTGGTCTCCTGGAACCTCCTGCGGCCTCCTGGTGCCTCCTGCAGCCTCCTGGAGCCTCTTGGGGCCTCCTGGAGCCTCCTGGAGTCTCCTGGGGCCACCTGAGGCCGCCTGGGGCCTCCTGGGGCCTCCTGGGACCTCAGAACTACATGCACACATACAGAGACACACATCACACCCAACGCATCACACGCTAGACAAACATAACACACACAACACCTACAACGCACAGAAAACACGCACAACACAGAACACACATCACACACACACACACACACATACAACACTCAAAATCCTGGGGCCTCCTGGAGCCTCTTCAGGTGTCCGAGTCGGGCCTCCCGAGGCTTCCTGGGGGGCCCTGGTACACACATCGCAAGGTGTGGCAACCCAAGTTTCGCCTGCGACATCCTCGCAACTCTGGGTTCCAAGATGCTCTGAACTCAGGTGTTCAAGCCACTTTCGCCTGAGACATCCTCGCAACTCTGAGTTCCGAGATGCCCTGAGCTGAGGTGGCCAGGCCACTTTCGCCTGAGACATCCTCGCAACGCTGACCTCGGAGAGGCATTGCCCTCGTCGATCCTCCTGCTCGATCCTCCATCCTTTGGGGGGGGCTCTTATTCGATCTTAGATTATTCTGCGTTCACCTCCTCCCTCTTCCCCTTCTCTTAGGCACGCCCTGGCGGTGCCGCCCCAGCTTCCCCTTCTCCATCTCCGATCCCGCCGTCATGGTGTCTTCCTGCTTGAAACGCCCTTCCAGTTTTTTTGGTATGAGCCTGGGCACACACGTGCCACTTGTATACCTATACATGTATGAATATATCCTCCTTATTCCCCTCCTCCTCTGCTTGCCAAGGAGGGGGGGCCCGGCAGGGAGGCCTCGGCCTCTGACTCCACGATGTCGGCGGCCTCTGGGGCCCGCGGCATGGACCCCCGCCGCCACAGCTTCACTGCTTCACGCCCTCCCTGCGTCCCTCCGTACGAGAGGAGGAGGGGGAGGAAAGGGAGGAGGAGGAGGAGGAGAAGGAGGAGGAGGAGGAGGATGAACAGGAGGAGCAGAAGGAGCAGGAGGGCTAGGAGGAGGAGGAGGAAGAGGAGGATGATGGATTAGGACGACGAGAAGGAAGAGGAGGAGGAGGAGGAGGAGGAGGAGGAGGAGGAGGACGGGGAGGAGGAGGAGGAGGAGGAGGAGGAGGAGAACGCCACAATCGTAGGACTCAGGCTTGGTCAACGTAGCAAAGAGAAGAGGAGGAGCAGGAGGAGGAGAAAAAGGAGGAGGAGGAGGGAGGAGGAGGGAGGAAAAGGAGGAGGGGAAAGGGGGGCGGGAGGGGCGAGAGATCGCCAGAAAGGGACACGGTTCTTGGTGCCCTGCAGGGTTTTCGCCGTTTTCGTCCCCCTCCCATGGGGTGTGGGGACGACACGACGAGGAGAGACAGGAAAAACTGGGTCATCTCACTTCGCGGGCCGAGCGGTTGGCTTCGCGCCCTCGCGAGGGCCCCCTGGATAAGGGCAGCTGTCCGACTAAGGCCGCGATACGCCGTTATCTTCGCGTCTACCGCGGGTGACCCAAGACGGTGGCGGGGGGCAGGGGCGAGAGAGGGGGCAGCCCTTACCGCGAAGACCCGCTGCACGGCGGAGGAAGAGGAACCACCGCCTGGCATGAGGCGCTGGAGTCCTGGCGGAAACGGGTCCTGGACATCAGAGGTTTTCTTTTCATCACGAATCATTGTTCGCGGTCCAAGGGCTGGGTGGGGCCCCGGGAGCCCGCAAACGGAGAGAAACCTCCAGGTCACCTCCCCCTTCATGCTGAAACGAGAAGAACGGGCCACCTCCTCCGCTTCATGCCAAAAGGGGAATCCGCAGCAACAGCGGCCCCGAACGGCGCTCGGATAGCTGCTGCTGCGGTACAGCCCACCCACCCCTGCTGCGATTGTCGATCCTGACCTCACCCACGCCCGAACGACTAAGGAAAGAGGGCCTTAAGCGTCAGGGCGCAGCGACCTTGCGCGATTGCTTGCGCGGGCCGCCAGCGCAGCACAGCACGTGGAAACACGGGCCCTCACGCGCGAATTTGCGCGGGCAACTCACGCGCGAGTGTCCGCGCAAACGAACTCGTTTTTCTAAACCGTTCGTTTGGGTACTCCGAATTGTTCAATCAACACATTTTCCCATGCCACCCGGCACTACGGCCCGTTCTGACCCCCCACGCCCACCGAGCGCACCCCCTCAGACGATCCCCCACCTCGTCACGCGAAAGACCCATTCCTGCACCCCCACGCGATCCACACACAAGCACACGCGCACACACACGCGTACGCGCACGCGCACGCGCACGCACACACACACACACACACGCACGCACGCGCACGCACAAACACAAACACATGCGCACACACGCACACGCACACGCACGCGCGCACACGCACGCGCGCACACGCACACGCACACGCACGCACGCACACACGCACACACGCACGCGCGCACGCGCGCACACACAGGCACACAGGCACACCACACACTCAACACACACACACACAACAACACACAAACGCACCACACCCACACACACGCAGATGGCACGGCACAGATGCACGCGCACCCCGCTCACACGCACACGCCACGCGCACACGCACACGCACACAAGCACGCACGCGCACACCACGCACCGCACGCACGCGCGCACGCGCGCCTCGATTGCCCTCACGACATACGCACGCAGACGCAGACCGCCAAACCCGCAGACCGCCAGACCGCAGACCGCAGACCCCTCAGGCACCGACAGGCACCCGCAGACACGCAGCCACGCGACACGCAGGACGCGCAAGACACGCAGACACGCGGCACACGCACACACGCACACACGCACACGCGCACACGCGCAACACGCACACGCACACCAGCACGCACGGCACGCACGCAACGCACGCACGCACGCACACACAGCACACGCGCACAAAACGCTCACACACGCACACGCACCCACGCACACGCACGCACACGCACCGCCACACAATCACGCAGCAACGCACACACGCAACACTCGCACACAACGCACACGCGCACACACGCAGCACGCTCCGCACACGACACGCGCGCACGCACACACACGCACACGCACACGCACACGCACCACGCACACGCAACGCACACGCCGCGCACGCGCACGCGCACACGCACAAGCAACACGCACACGCACGCGCACACGCACGCGCACACGCGCACGCGCGCGCACACGCAAACGCACGCGCGCGCACGTATACGCACACGCACACACGCACACACGCACGCACGCGCGCAGTCGCACGCGCACGCGCGCGCACATGCGCACGCGCGCGCGCACGCACACGCACGCGCACGCGCACGCGCACAAGCATGCACGCACGCACACGCACACGCGCACACACAGACGCACGCACGCACGCGCACGCACGCGCACACGCACACACACAAACACATGCGCACACGCGCGCGCACGCATGCTCGCGCGCGCACGCGCACGCGCACACGCACACGAACACACGCGCACACGCACACGCGCACACACACACACGCACACGCACACGCACACGCACACGCACGCGCGCACGCACACGCGCACGCACACACGCCCACGCACGCACACGCACGCACGCACGCACTTTTTGGTCGGCGGGGCGAGAGCGAACCTCTTCCGCTAAAAGCTAGGCGGGCTACGCACAGCTGTAATCAGGGAGACAGGGCGCAGGAAGCACACGCACGCACACGCGCGCACATTCACGCGCAGGCACAGGCGCAGGCACAGGCACACGCACACACGCACACGCACACGCGCACACACATGCACGCACACGCACGAGCTCACACGCACGCGCACACGCACGCGCGCAAGCTCACGCACGCGCACACGCACGCGCAAACGCACACGCACACGCACGCGCACGCGCACACGCGCACGAACGCACACGCACGCACGCACGTACGCGCGCATACACGCACGCGCACACACACACGCGCACAAAAGCACACACACACACACGCACACGTACACGCACATGAACACGGACACGCGCACGCACGCGCGCACGTACGCGAACGCGCACACGCGCACACGCACACGCACACACAAACACACGCACGCACACACATGCACACACGCACGCACACACACACACACACACACGAATACGCACACACACTCGTACACACGCATCCAGACACACACGCGCACGCACACGCACGTGCACACGCAAACGCACGCGCACACGCGCACGCACGCGCGCGCACACACACGCACACGCGCGCACACGCACGCGCCCACATTCACACGCGAACCCACACACACACACGCAAACACACGCACGCGCGCGAACGCACCCATACACACACGCGCACAAAAGCACACACACACGCACACACGCACGCGCGCGCACGCACACACGCACGCGCACACGCACACGAACATGCGCACACACGCACACGCACACACGCACACGCACACACGCACGCGCACATGCACGCACGCACACACGCACGCGCACGCACGCACAAACACGCACACGCGCACGTGCGCACGCGCGCGAACAAACGCGCGCGCGCACGCGCGCGCGACCCACCTACACGCGCACACTTTTTGTCGGCGGCGAGGCAGAATTGTCTGCGCCAGCGATTCGGCTGAACGGGGGTGCCGAGAAGCGACTTGGCCAGCGGGGAGGGCAGACGCGGCGGCCGCGGAGGGGGGAACTCTCGCCTGAGTGCGCTGGCGCGGCCAGCCCAATCAGCGGGATCCACTGCAGCTGCTGGACCGCCGCGCTGGGGCGCCCGCGGTCGATGACGGGGTCCAGCGCGTGGAAAGGAAGCGCTGCAGTGACGCTGCCGACGAAGTAGGCGAAGTACTTGGACGACGCAAAGAGGGCCGCAAGGCCGCCCGGGCGGGCGGCGCGAGTGAGTCATGGCGCAACATGTTCCCGAGCGGGCTAGGTTTGGACTGCAGCCAGCAAAAGTGCTGGGCCCGTGGGAGCGGCGGGTGGCGAGACCAAGCCTGGGTGCACGACCGCGCGGGGAGGCTGCGAGCTGCGGCGGCCTCGCGAGTGCCATGGCGGCGCGCGGAGGGAAGGGGCGAAAAGGCGGCGGCGGGGAGATGGGGGGCAGGGACAGGGCGGAGGAGCGCCCCGCCTGCGGGGAGACCCGGGCAGGCGGGGCGTCGGGGCCAAGCGGCCCAGCGCCAACGCTGCAGCTGCCCGAAGGGTGGCCCTGGCGCGTCCGCGGGGGCCGCGCGCTGTCGGGGCGGACAGCGCGCGGCTGGTCTGGGGGCGCCTGACCGGTGCAGTTACCTGTGTCAAAACTGCGGCCGAAGGCTGTCGGGGGCCACGCGCTGTCGGGGTGGACATTGCATGGCCGTTCTAGGGGCGCCGCGATGGCGCTGTTTCCGGCGCCTGCGACGGCGGAATATACAGCGGAAGAAAATGGCGTCGCGCCGGCTGGGGTCGCGGGTTCCACTGCCGCGCAGAGAGCAGAACCTGCGCCGGGCCGCCCCAGGTTCACCGCCTATCTGCCGCATCCTCCTTACCCACGCCACCGGGCCCTCGAGCTGAGGACCAGGGGTTGCGGCCTCGGCGAAGCTTCGGGGACGCGAAGGTGCCGTTTTTTAACCAGAGATTGTGGCCTGTGGCCTCAGGAGCACGACTGTCTATTTCTTCCACAAGGAAGAACTCGAAACGAGCGTGCCCGACTTTTCTGGCCCACTGCCGGTAGCGGATGGGGGGGCCTTCTACGAAACAGCACTTGGTATTCTAGCACGCCCCACCGCGGAGGCGCGGCGGCGGATAAGGGGGCAGCCGACGAAGTTGTCGTGCTATGCGAAGCTGTGCTTTGCGGTGGTGGCCCGCCCCCACCTCTCGAGGCACGAAACGGTTATGAAACCAGCATGCCGG